TTCTTTACATCTATACGTGTGTGATTCCGCTGTGTTTAAGGCCTTGCAAGAAACAATCTAAAACACTGGTGGGGTTGCCATTTATGGAGTTTCAAATTTATTCATAAATCAGTCCAACTACACACCAAATGGGGACCGAAGCAACGTATACATTACTTTGATAGTTGATACTTATCTCCTTACCACTTTGGTTTAGACTGGATTAAGTAAATTGTATGAAATGAAAAAAAAATTGTTTTGGTAAATAGCTGTTGTTATTAAGACAAAAGATTATTGGCAATTTTTTGAAAAATTAGGGTAAAAATTGTAGCATGTTATTTTTAAAAATTGGCTTCGAAAACTATATTCATTTGGCATCTTCAAACACATATAAATAAAAATTGTAGCATGTTATTTTTAAAAATTGGCTTCGAAAACTATATTCATTTGGTATCTTCAAACACATATAAACTGACATTTAACACGCTAAATAATTATAATTATGAGATGATGAACATATGTATAAATTGATAAAATAAAATTGATATTTACATATAAAATAGCATGATACATAAAAAAAATCAAGTGGAAATACTTAGATTGTATTTAAAATTTCTTTAATAAATTATATGTCTATTTAGAAAATAACACAAATACAGAAAAAATTAAATGAAAGAAGTAAAATCATCTAAATTATTTTTAAAAAATCACGTTGTTTCACTTGACAAAAATATATATCTTCTCATTTACTTAAATGCTAGTAATAACTAAAATATTTTTCATTATCTGCAAATAATTCAAATACTTTTAATTTTGTTGTGATAAATTCCCCTTCTCTTTTAATTAAAAAAACTCACTTATTTTTATTGCTTTTATTAAAATGTTAGTTATTTGACTTTTCTCATTCACTCCTCGTTTTCTTTAAATAGAGAGAGAGCATGCAGGCTAACATTTTATTCATCACCTGTTTTTCCACAAAGAGAGTGTTATTACTTATAAGAAGTTGCAGAAAATGGCTTCCAAGACTTTAATTCTGTTGGGTGTCTTTGCATTTCTTCTCGTCGTCTCAGAAATGGCCGCATGATCTGAAAGGCAGTCGGTTACGTAAAATTATTTTATACAAAATAAAAAAATGTTTGTGAGGCTAATCGAACCATGCTAACGTATCATTCATTCATTTGATAAAATTTTCCAACCATTTCGTCCTTGAACGATGGTCAATTATTTGGACTTACTAAGTCAAAACACACTTATGAATGGTGTTGTTGTCTACTTGACGACACGAATGGTGTTTTGTTAATAACAAACGAAACTTTTTATACGTATCAGACCATCTGAAACTATTTAGATGTTCGGTGCAAATTTTATGTAGAACGTATATTTAATAATGTTCAAGAAAACGCTAGGCGCTAACAGGCGGTGACCCAATGCCTAGTGCCTAAAATACATAATATATTAGATATATATAATAAAATAAAATTTATATTGTATTTATATTCATCATTTAATAGCTAAATATATAAAATTTTACGATTTATATATAAAAAAAATTATAGTATGTTATTATAATAATACCATAATATTTTAGGCGGCAAAAGCGGTAATCGCCACGGTCTATAGGGATCTAGCGCTTAAACGCCGTCTAGGCGAACGTGTAGAACGCTTTTTAGAACACTGATATTTAATGATGAAAGTCACTTTTTCTTTTTAACTAGAAATCCGAATTTATATGCATTTTAAATAGTTTTTAAGAGAAATTTATTTTAAAAATCGAGGAGAAGAATGCACATATGCACGTGCTAAAAAATATCTTTGAAATAAATGAYGTGTTTTCTTTWGGACAGGCACGGTGAACTCAGAGAGTGAGGAAACTGTGCAACCTGATGGGCATGGTGGTGGAGGATACAACAGAGGAGGAGGATACAACAGAGGTGGAGGATACTACGGCGGTGGAGGACACTACGGCGGCGGAGGACACTACGGCGGTGGAGGACACCACGGCGGTGGAGGATACAAAGGAGGAAGAGGAGGCCGCGGGGGACACGGAGGAAGAGGAGGTCACGGAGCAGAAGCTGTTCAGACTCAACCTGGTCACTAAATCTATATAATATATTAACCACCATGCACGATTACATCTACGTATACACATATGTCATATGTGTATGACTATAAGTAAACCATGGTGAGTTTGTAATGAAGTGACTGAAGGTAAAGAAAATAAATTATGGGAATAAAGCTTTATAATGTAATGTCTATATGTTCGACTTGTAATCTTCGCTTTTTGCATAATAAAATCGTTTCGTTTTGTGTAACAGTGCGATATTATTATTCGTACTCTAGGGTCAAAGAAAACAAAATAGATATAAACATGTCTCACCGAGGAAGTTTGTTTTCTTTCTTAAAAATAAAGCCTAGAAACTCTATCAAGGTTTTTTTTTCCTTGAATAGTACTTTATTTCTCTTTTGAACTTTCCTAAAGGGATACATTTTAAAATTACATGTTTTGTCCACATGAGAAAAGAGAAAGAGGCATAAAACAATTGTGCCTAATAACCACACGTTACAGTGTGAGAGAAATGATAAGGAGCAGTGACCAAAATAAAGAGCATAGCAGGAGATACTATGTGATGCTTACAATAAAAGGCTAGAGTGCAGGATGGTTCCCATATTAAATGTAACCAAACCAAAGTGATAGGTAAGTTTCACCAGATGAAGTAGCATGGTTTTGAGTGTTACCAACGCGGGTGTCAAATCCAGCTAGCCTACGTCTTAGGATAGATTGAATCTCTCGGATTACTCGAGTCAAAGGCTTAGTTTCGTCTCTGTGCAATCGAGCATTCCTTTCTTTCCAGATTTCATAAATTGTTGCTTAAAGCAAAAGCTTGCAGATGGTGTTGAGCTTTGCTAGAGATGTAGCTGATCCGACCCATCCAACAATGGGTTCATAACCTACGGGAGGGTTTATATGAGTGAAACTAAAACACTTATATATTGTTTTATATTTTTTTATTATTTAATTAAAGTGTTTTATTTAAATAAGATTAATTGTTTTTAATTTGTTTAGTTAGATAATATGTGGCTAATTTTGATTGACTATTTCATAGGGGGTGAACCCAAGAATTGTTCTTTTGCAAATGAACACCTTAAGTGATATTCTTGCAAATGTATACACCAAAAGTAGCATTTTTGGTGTTGTCCATTCTTCTATTTGCTCTATGTCCTGC